CTAAAAAGTAAAAACAAATATTCTGAAATTATGCCCAGAATTTTAATCTTAAAATTTACATTATGTTTATGTATGAGCACCAGGCACATAGCCTCCCGTTCAAATCTTTTCTGTATAAATGTTGCTCTTACTCTCATTCGAAAATTCATGTGTGATTTCAAAAGAAACTTGTAGCTGGCTTTTCCGAATGCAAATCTTCTCTTAAAATGCACTGGAGGTTTTGAAACATAACTCAATTGTAGTTCAAATTTTATGGGCAAATGGTTAAAAATATGGGGTGGGGGGCAACAAGGCTATGTATCCTCCACCTGTAAGTCATGGAGAAGTGTCTATGGATAAAGAAACTTGCTATAGCTCTCATCTTAGAAATGAGAAACCAAGCTATAAAACTGTTTAGCAGTTACAACCAACCAGGGAACACAGTGAGAGTTTGGGTGGGCTTTTCTTCCAGCATTTTCCGCCCTCACCACAAGTGAGATGCCTGTCTTAATGGCACTCCATAGTGAATACTGTACTCTCTCCTGGATGGAACCAGCAACTTGTATAAGCTGTGAACGACAGAGCAGTAGCCTGGCGCTGACACTGTGATGACCCCTGAAGAGAAGGATGCCTTCCAGGTGCCTGGCCCCTCTCTGGCAGCCTGTGAGCACTTGCTGTCGTTAGCACCAGTGGTAACGAAATGTAAACACCTTTACTTTCCAGCTGCTGCTAATTGGTTTGGGAATATTTGTGTAAGTGTTGATTTTAAAGCTAAAAATAGCAGTGCTGTTTAAATCCAAGGCGTTCTGGCTGTCATTAATGCTCCCACGATCCTGAAAGTGTTGCTAAAAACGTTCGCTCTTTTTAAAATGTAGTAATTAAGCTTGTCTTTTTGTGAAGGCCACATATACGTTGCTCTGATGTGGTCGAAGCTGTGACAGATATACTTAGAGTAGCCAGGTATGGTGGCCTGTTCAACATTGCTTGGAAAGAGAGGATCTTAATGTGGGTCAAGCAAGACAGGCTTTACACCACCACCCTCTTTACATTCTAGGCAGCTCATCTTAACCCACGAGTTTAAGACAGCATTAAAAATAGAAATTGCCATCACTTTATTTTAGAAATTAAATATGGACCCTCCAAAGCATTGTGTTTCTATTTCTAGAGGCAAGTTTCAGGATTTTTAAATCACATAATTAATATTTCTCCAACCTGAAGTTTAAGGACTATGGAGGCTGTTTAGCACCCATTATGTCGACCTTTTAGTTAATCGGAGTTATTTTTGTCCCTCTCCTTCCAAATTTAAAAGTCAAGATTTTACAGATTTTTCTCCAAGTTATTTAAATAGGCTATGAGGGGAAAAAATTCTCGTTTTCATTTTTAGATAGGTGTGAGTTTGTGACTCTTCATTTCATCGTGTAGTGGATTGAAAGAAAAGCTGAAGTGTGCTTTAATCATTCTGTGTCAATAATTTTGAAGTTTGAGGGGAAAGTGATTTTTTAAACCTGGTAAGAGACAGCTGTCTTTGTCTTAAGATTTCAAGCACTCAATGCTAGTGTTGTCAGAGTCCATCAAGCTGGCCTTAGGTCTTTGTGGAGTGCCTCCAGCATCTGCCTTCCTGCCTCATCCCCAGAGGATACTAATTAAAGGATTCTGATGTTGCAGTATACAGGAGTGATTTTGGCAAGTGACAATCACTGCCCGTTAGCTGAGATGATATACTGTAGTTTCTGCCTCTTTATGATGGTTGTAGCAAGGCAAAGAGGGTTTTGATGCTGCTTTTAAAATAGTGGAACTACTATCTAAGCCATAAAGCTTGTGGATGTGCTTGCAAAGGACACCGTCATTTGAGCAAGGAGGAAGCTTACTGAATGGGAAAAAATTTATCATATATACGTGCATATATATGTGTGTGTGTGTGTGTGTGTGTGTGTGTGTGTGTGTGTGTGTGTGACATAGGATTAGTATCTAGAATATACAAAGAACTAGAAAAGCCTGAACATCATGAAAACAACCCAATTTAAAAAGTTTCTAGAATTAAGCACAGAATTTTCAAAAGATGGAACACAAATGACTGAGAAACACTTAAAACATTCAACAGCCTTAGCTATCAAGAAAATGAAAGTTGTAAACACTTGGAGATTTCATCTTACCCCAGTCAGAATGGCCAAGATTAATACAACAAATCACAGCTCATACTGGGAGGAATATGGAGAAAGGAGAACATTTATTCATTGTTAGTGGGAGGGCAAACTGATACAACCACTATGACATTCAGTAGAGAAGTTCCTCAGAAATCTGAAAATAGAGCTACCACAGTATTCAGCTATATATGCAACTCTTGAACATATGCTGAAAGTACTCTGTATATACTTGCTTATCCATAGTCATTGTTGCTCTGTTCATAATAGCCAGAAATCATAACCAGTCTAGATATCCATCAACTGATGAATAGATAATGAAAATATGGTACATTTACACACAGGCATATCATTCATGCATTAAGATAAATGAAATTTTCAGATTAAATGGATGACAATAAAAACAGTCATCCTGAAAGAGGTAACCCAGACCCAGAAAGACAACCATTGCATATTTTCTCTTATATGTAAATGCTAGCTTTGCAGATTTAGATATGTATTTTATTTTATTTTTAATGATTTGTGTGTGGGAATGTGCGTGCATGAGGCACGAGTCCAGGTGCACACGAGTCTAGAACACAGTTATCAGTTCCCCGGAGCAGGAGGTTAGGCAATTGTAAGCCATCTGACAGGGGTGCTGGGAATTTACCTCAGATCCTCTACAGAGCAGCAAGCACTCTTCACTGCTGAGCATGCCTGCAGCACAAAGTGTGTGCTCTTTATGTGTGCAGTTGTTGACATGATTACTCTCAAAATGTAGGCAGCTCAGAATTCCCCTTGGTCAGAGTATCACACTGCAATTGGCCCTGTATTCATTTCAAATTGTAGTTGACATTCCAAATTTATAGCACATCAAGTATAGTGTTGATGTAAATTAAAGCTTTACTTGTCATATAACTAAAACTAGATGGAAAACTTCTTAATCTCCAATAAGTTAATTAGAGCCAGAAAGTATATTCTTTCCCTGCCATAGTTAGAGATCAATAAGAAAGTTCCACATGGGAGAGAGAGAAGACAAACAAGTTATAGAGCTGAAACTGTACACTAAATATGGTTTTCTTTGGCATTCTGGTGATATATATATATAATTAGAGATAGAACTGAAAGGAATAATTAATTAACTGCCACTTTTAAATGTTCCTGGATTGGAGTGATATTTATCATTAAGATGGCATCATGATGTATAGATTAAATGTGCTCTCCATCAAATCCTCAGTGTAGGAGGAAACTGACAGACGTGCTGGATCTAAAACTGTTGTAGACATGTAAGAGGCCCAGAATATTGAGCCAGCATGGAAAAACAAAACAATCTGGAAGAACCACACATCATGATTTCAAGCCTTAATGCAAATCTAAGGTAGTCATAACTGTCTGGGGCTGACATGAGAACGGTCATATTTAAATGAACAGAATTCAAAAACCAGACTAGTCATCATGTGATTCTTCACATCTGCAGCATCAAGGTGATGGGCACCCCAGCTAGAAGACTGTAGCTTCTGTCCTTCAGACATCTGTTTTCCAACCTCATCCTAGAACTTCTACATCCCCACTTCTCAGAAACTAGAAGAAATAATACATTTTTTAATCCATAAAGTTTTGAGATAGTTTCTTATATAGCTTTTAAAAAACAGTATAGAAGGCTCTGGCTGATGTCTCTGAGAACCATATACAAGCCTCACACTCTTACAGACAGATAAAAAGCTAATGACCTGGGCATAAATGTGCTTATCAAATACCTTGATATGCATAAGCATCACAGGTTCAAGGATTCTGTTAAATCTTTCTAAGTATTTTTTTTAACCTTCCCAATCGTGCCCTGTTTTTTTTTTCTGTATGAATTTATCAAGCCCTTCCTGAATATAATATGGACATTAAAACTTTCAGATATTTCTCTTTTTAAAGATGCTTTATCTTAAACTGTTAAGGGTTCTTTAACCTCAGAGACTGTTCTTCCTTTAACTTATCTATATGGAGACTAGAAAATTGAATTAAGAAAAATATCTTTCACAAAAACACAAATATCTGTTTGAAATATTGCTATCCATTTAAAATAAGAGACTTTTTTAAAAAAAGAGTTTAGGGAGCTAGAGATATGGCTTAGAAGTTAAGAGCACTTTTTGCTCTTGAAGAGGATCTGGTCTGATTCCCAGCACCCACTTGGTGGTTCACAATCATCCATACCTCCAGTCTCAGGGGATCCAATGCCTTATTCTGACCTCTGTGAGCACCAAACACACACATGATTCACATACAAACATGGAAGCACAAAAAATAAAGTTAATAAATCTAATAAATAAATGTTAAAAAAATCAGGAGATCTGGGCATGGTCACAGTGCATGACTCGAATCCCATTCTTTAGGAGGCAGAGGTCTCTGAGTTCAAGGTCAGCCTGATCGATAGAATGAGTTTCAGGACAGTCAGGTAACAAACATTTTTTCCATACATTTGCTTCTGTCCATGTATTTGCTTTTTTCATACATTGCATTGTGCTAAGTGCAAGCACATAGAGGTCATTAAAACTTGTTTCTCACCACTTAGCAATGGAGACTACTTTTAGTATTTTTTTTTTCAAACTGGTTTAAAATACAATCCCCAAACCCAAGGCTGAGTAGCAGGAAGTGAAGCCATATATTTCGCAGCTTTTAACATGCTGCCTTGTGCAAATGGCCCATTTGAGCATTTCAGACACCAAGCAGGAGAGGAGCAGCACACTCCGAAAGTACTGAGAAGATTAACACCTGTTTCCAGTCTTAAAAGAAATGGGAGCAAAGTGTCTACATCCAGAGTGAAGCTATTTCCTCACTCATTTGAAACGATGTGTTCAAAGCTTCAATTCTGTATGCGCAGCATCTACATCCTATGACTTTGCTTCATTCCAGAATTCCACCCAGAACTGGGAAAACAGAGAAGTTATGAATGGTGAACACACAGAGCTGCTATCATCGCACAGAACGAAGGATACACTGAGGTATTTTCTTTATGCAAAGAGAATGTCCTTATTTATTTAAATTTGGCATTATTTCATTTAATAGATTTTAATTGTTCTGATTTTGCAGGAAATACCAAGAAAAGTAGAACTGTTTAACGAAGCACATTTCAATTCAAACATCAATTACTTATTCCTTTCTCCTATTTTCTACATAATATATGAGAACCTTCCTGAAAACCACAGATGTACAAATAATCCTAGAGGCTTCCAATACTCTCTACATCAGGACTTTGTTGGTTTCTTTTTCATTTCTTATACATTTTATTACATCGTGTTCTCTTTCACCCTTCTCCCTATAGGCCCTACCAAGTCATCTTCTTCCAAGTTCCTGTATGCCCCCCAAAATCGATAGGCTCCTCCCCTTCAATAATTATTGACACATACACATATGTGTATTTGTATGTATATATGTATGTATATGTATGCACAAATATGTAAATGCACCAAGCTGAGTCCATTTTTTTTCTGTCTGTGTATATGCTTCAAAGGCTAACTACTCTGTAATGAACAACCAATGAGGACTCTCATCTTTTGGAAAAGCCAATTCTCCCTCTCTCAGCAGTCAAAAGCTGCTTGTAGTTCCTCATCGACTGATATTGCCATTTGTGACAGTCTTGTGTTTGCAGCCATTTCTAGGGGGGATGGGTTTACAGTAGACTTCTTGATATTGTAGCCCCCACAATCCTTCTGCCCTCTGTCCCTTGATGTCCCCTCAGTCACAGATGGACTGTGCTGCAGATGTATGCATTGAGTCTTGCTCCCCACAGTTTAATCTCTGCGTTCTATGCAGTTGTGGCTCTCTGCAACAGTCTCCGTTTGCTGTACAGAGAAGCTTCTTTGGTGAGAGGGTGGTAGCTACACTTATTTGTGAGCATAAGAATAAGATCTCGAATGCAGTTAGAAATTAAGCTGGTCTAGCAAAGTGGCTGATAAACTCTCTTCCAAGGCCCGTGACGTCACTACCCTACCTCTCCCGGGAAGCTGGCTAGGTTTCTAGTACCAGGCCTTATTTCCCTCCTGGGCAACCAGGATTTTTCAATTGCTTTTTCTTGTCGTTGCCCTGCAGTTTATAGAGCTCTCCAGAGTTCCTTGTGTTTGAGGGGTTTGCTTTGCCTCTAGCTCTAGAAGTCGCTGCTGTGGTTGTGTTTACACAATCTCACAGTATTTTACTTGATGCTTGTGAGATGAAATGGCTCCAGCATTGTTCATATTATTAATGAAAGTAGATCTTTATGTGAAGTCAACTATTGCTCTTCTTAGCACTGATCTCTGAGTCTACAGCCATAGTCACTGCCTGGATACAAACCGTATCTCCCTAATTCATCTCCCCTGGCCTTAGTGTCTGGTCTATAAGAGAAATAATAGGGTGGAAGAGTGTTTGCCTAATATGCATGAAGCTCTGTGTTCAATCAATCCCCAGGACCACATAAGTCAGGGGTGGTGGCTCACACCCATAGTCCCAACACTTCACATGAGAGGTAGACCAGGAGATTCAGAAGTGCAGCATTAGCCTCCACTACACCGTTGAGTTCAAGTCTAGCCTCAAAAGCAATAAAATAAAACCTCTTCAGAATGTTGTTATTAGGATTTTTGTATTACTGTTTATAACTTTATTATTTAATAACATATATAAAATACTTTGAACAAGGTCAGAGTAAGCCTTGTATTTGATTATGTTGCTACTATTATTTTCTTTGTTGCAGGTTTATTATTCCCTGTACAAAATTCTTGGGGCCAGAAGCATTTCAGATTTTAAAGTATTTTTTTAATTTTGGAATATTTGTGAAGACAGTACTGGTTGAATATGCCAAATCAAAAAATTAAAAAAAAAAAAAAAACAAGACCCTGCAAAGTCTCAATCTCTTGGAGCATCATATCAGTGTTCAAAGGCTTTAGATTATGGAGCATTTTGGATTTGGAGATTTTTTAGACTGGGGAGGATCACCTTGTATGGTTTCCATTAGTGTCATTATTTTCAGGAAGATGGGAGAAGAAAATGTTGGTGGGGATATGGGGCGGCGGGAGCGGAGAAATGGGGATGAATATGATCATATTACACTATATCAATGTATGATATTCTAAAGAATAAAATAAAATATGCTCAGAGAAGAGGCTAAGAACAGTCTTTACAGTGTAGAACGTTCAGCTGCCGGGGCAAGCTTGCAGATTAGACTTGTTTTAGGTGTTGCAGGTGCTGGGAAACACTTAGAGCTGGAAACCATGTGCAGCTGTTACAGTGTCGGCATCCTCACGGGGAAGGGAAGCCCTGACAGACCGACCGTAGTGCTTGGCAGAAAAATAGGACTTTGGGCTCACTTCCTTGCAGGTAGCACAGACGCTAAGTAAATAGTTTGTAGAGTCCATGTCAAAATGACCTACACCTGTTACACGCCCACGGCCATTACTTCAGCCTTTCTCACTCCAGCTAAGCTATTACAATAACTTACCATCTCCGCTCACCAGTGTGAATCCCTTCTTGCTCTCTAATTGAGTCTCTGCATAAGAACTGAGTATGATGTTCTAAACTGCATTCATTTAGCGATTCTTTCGAACCTTGAATTAGATAAGGTCTAGGTTTGAACACTGGCTTTGTACCTTGCTACCTATGTATTATTGGACTAATTACTGAACATCTTTAAAATATTTCCTTTATATGGAAAATGACTTTTATGATCACATAGATTCTGGGAAGATTAATTAAGGTACATTACAGGCAGCTGACTTAGTACATTGCTAAATGAAAGGCTGAATAATTACTAATTGCTATTGCAAGTGTCCTCGTCATTATTACACATATTATAGTTCATTGCAACTCTGTATTATCCCAAACAAGACTGAATCCTCAAAAGCATTTCTGCCACCCCATACAACTCTTAGAATATAAGGAACATATTTGTTAAATGATTGACTGAATGGATAAAACAAATTGCTCAATGAATCATCAGCATAGCTATGAATTTAAAAGCTGGTAAAAAGATGTTCTCTAAATAGACTTATAATATGTGTGTCCCATGAATCCCCAGTCCTCTGGCTTTGATCATAAAATACAATGAAGTAAAGGGCTTCACTTGGGTAGTTTCCCTCAAATACTGAGAGCATCTCTTTTAACAGAAAGCAGTATGTTCAGAAGACCTTCCCTTCCCTCTGATTGCCCTGACATTTTGGACCTCACCTTGTTGCTCAGCTCCCCTTCCCCAAGGTTCACCTCTCTAGATTTGCCCATTTCTCCACCATGTTTTCTTTTGCCTTCTTTGTCCATGAAAGCCATCCAAAAGACAAGTGATTTACAGAGCCCAACTCAAGGTATCTTGATGTCGCCCTGACGATTTCATGCTTCATTCCTAAGTAAATGTTACGCCTGTATTCCCTGGACACAAGATTGTTGAAAAAATTCACTGATTGGTCTCAAATACCAAACTCTCCATCATCTTTTATCTTTTTAGTTGTTCCTGCATATAACTACCTGGTAATTCCTTTTAAAACACAGTTATTATCACAGTCTTCCTCATTACCAATACCTTCAGTACCTGTTTTCTATAAAATTAATTATGAGCCTTTCTCTGGGAATTTACCCAAGTACCTCTACACGTGGTTGCCAATAAACTACTTGTCCCTGCCACACCACCTACTCTGGGCTCTTAACCAAGCAGCTATAGACATGAGACAGTTGCTAAGACAACACAACCCCCCCCCCCAAAAAAAAAACAAAAAAAAAAAAACAAATATCACTGCCTGTTCTGATGTCTATCCCAGGACCTGCCTAAGCAACCTGATATATGGCTGCCAGTGCTAAGACCCTCCTCATCCTATCCCATCACCTGCCCTGGAACCTTACTCAAGAAGTTGTACATGAGCAGTTAAGACCTTAGTGCTTCCCAGTAGCTGCTGAAGTAGAATCACCCTAACATCCCCACTTATGAAAGACTGAGAACATATCCTGCTTGATCCAAAACTAGCTGAGTTAGGCTAACAGCAAAATCAGAACCAAATTCCCATTCAACAAAGGTAGGCTAGAAACTCATATCAAAAGATATAGCCAACAACTTAACCCTAGGCACCAGGTTCCAGTACGAAAACATAAGCAGGATCAAAGATCATCAATCCTATAGCAATGGTCCCAAAGGTGAACAACTTAGACAAATCTCAAGACCCATAATTTAAAATATTTATTTTTATTCACATGTACGCACATGTGTCTGTGTATGCATATAGAAGAAAATTTACCAAAAGTAAGGAAAGGGGTGGCTATAGAGGAACAAGAGGCACAAAGAACACTAAATAGACAGGACGAGGGATGGGGAAAACTTCCCATCTCATATTATAGTTAGAACACTAGATATACAGAATTACAACAACAGAAGTAACAAAAAGAAGAAGCCATTGAAAGCTGTAAAAGAGAAGTCACAGGTCACTTATAAAGGCAATCCCTTTAGACTGTTAGCTGACTTCTCAATGGAAATGTCAATATCCAGGAGAACTTGAGCAATGTAGAATTCCTAAATGACTGTAGATGATAACATAGACAACTATGCCTGGCCAAACTATCTGCCATAGTTGAGGGAGAAAGAAACCCTTTCTTTGGCATAAATAGATGAAAGGAAGTTGTGTCCACCAAAATCAGCCCTATTGGAAAGAACACGATGGACTGAAGAGAAGGTTAAGCACAGCCAAGAGGCTACTAAAAGATATCAAAGGACACTCCTGGAACTGTTATACAGCGAAGACCTAGGAAAGCTACCTACAAAGCCATGCAATTATAACAGTCAACACATATCGTTCAGTAACTTTAAATGTTAATGTCCTCACCTCCCTGTCAAAACTCATAGGTTAGCAGATTGGCTTAACAAATGGAATCCATCACTTTGTTGTCTGCAAGAAGCACACATTTACGTTCAAGGACAGACACTTGTCCTCCAGTGAACAAACACACATCAAGCCAATGGAACCAGCAAACAAGCAAGTATGGTATTCTACCATCT